AAGTAAACTTTAGAAGGAACTGGAAACCCAATCCTAAAAAATAAAGAAGGGATGAATCTCTGTTTAAAAGACCGGGGAGGAGTGCAAACTGGATGATAAGCAAACCTATCTACTTATTTTGAGAGAGGAAAATAATAATAATAATAATAATAATGATAATGTGTTGAATAAAAATTAAGATTTCAGGTGGAGGTGTCAGAAATACAGAGCTGAAGCAACCGGAAACACAATACAAAACAGGGAACAAAGACTAATACTCTACTCCTCTTCAAAAAATCTGAGAGAAGTATGAACTGCACTATAGGGAAGACAATCTACTCCTATTTAATGGTACAGCATTAGTATTTGAATAAATAGATAAGTATTAAACTTTTTTTCAAAAAATTATTTTCACTATTCTTTGATGTGTACTACCTGCATTAAAGAAATCATCCCCAATATGGTTACCCATCTGAAAGCATTTGACTAAAACATTGACTATTATTTTACATCATTGAGCACTGAAAAATATGACTAGATACAAAATCCATTCATAAAAGTTACTTCTAATATTGGACTTCACTTATATGAAGAAGATCTGGCCACCATTTCTAGTAATCAAGCACTCAAAATAAAACATTCAACCGAACACAGTGACACAATTTGGATTTCAATACAAAAGCAATATCCCACATTATATAAAAAGGCTTTATCAGTTTTATTGCAATTTTCTACTTCTAATTTATGCGAATTAGGCTTCTCAACTCTAAATAACATTAATATACATATATATATATATATATATATATATATATATATATATATATATATATATTTTTATGAAATGGATTAAATATTTTCTGTTTATACGTTTTTTTATGGATTCAATTATTTGAGTAAATGCTCTGTTTTTTTTTAATTAAACAGTATTAATTACATTAACTGGCCTGGATTTTGTAGAAAATGTGTATTCTACAACAGGAATTGAACCTGTATTCAATACAAAACCGTCATTAAGCCTGATGTGCTATAACCAGAAGTTCTCTGTGGCTGAACACTCATAGCACGACAGGCTTAATGATAATTATATATATATGTAGACAAACAATAAAAAGAACAAGCACATTAAACAGAAAATGATTTATCATTCCACCCCTTAAAGGAATCTTGCATTCAACTTTAGGGTCTATAGCTATTTGGCGCTAAGCACTCCTTAGGTCTAATGTGCTAAATATTCTGTATTTGGCAATCTTGTTAATACGGAGTATCGGGTATACATCCAGGAGGGTGTACCTATTTATAGCTTGGGAGTAGTCTATGACCATCTTTTTTTATTATTATCAGAGGATATTATTAATATGTGTGGTTTCCATGGTGATCTGCTTTCTTTGATTATTCCTTGTCTTATCATTCTTGTTATTTCTGCCTGAATAAACATTTTGTCTTCAAGGGAATATTTTCAAGATTTGGTGGCCACTGTTTGACAGTTTTTGGTTAAGTTTTCATAAAGAGAGGGGTATTGAACATTTATAAGCGGCCAAGCCACACATGTTCAATGCTAGTTTAGGGCCCCCAAAAGGGAGATTAATACAAGAATGCTGTTTAAGGATATCATGGCCAGGTATAGCAGCACAGATTTAGCATCACAAAAAATTTGGCGTTAGTGTAGTTAGTTTGATTCAACTCTAGGCCGGCCAAAATGTGTCCTTTAACCTGCAAAGATACAATTTTAAAGCTGTTTCTTTTTGCAATATCAGTGCTAAAAAAAACTCTCTGAGCTTCTAGTGTCAACTAGAGCATTCATTTCTACCCCATTTATTTTTACCGTTAATATAGCCTTTGAAAGACATTTAGGGTTTGCAGTTGACACGATACTAGTCGCAACGAGAGCATTCAAACCAGGTGAAAAAAAACTTGATCGACAAAGCTTAGAGAAATGTCCCTTCTGCCAGCATTTATGGCATTTAGTTTCCCTGTCTGGGCGACATGACCTGAGGTGTAGTTTGAGACCACAAAAATATCATCTGGCTGCAGCACTAGTAGTGTCTTTCAGATAGAGAAAAATTTGAACTGGTGGGCGGGGGGGGGGGTCATGCAGAAATAAAGAAGTCTATCAGTGAGTACTTTTTTTTTCCTGTTTGGACTAGTAGGAGTGTGAGTACTTAGAGCAGCCTCTGCAACACTTGTTTGTAGGTATGAACAAGATTGCTTTTTTTCTGCCATCACTAAGTGACTGCTCACAAGCACTAGCTAAATCTAGTTGTTTATTTTCCAGCGATCTTTGATGGATATAGTTTGATTCTGATCCATTTATAAGGGAGTCTCTGATAAGCACATACTTATCCGGATCTGCTGTCATCACTTGAAAGTCGCAGTCTTGACTTAAGATTTTTAAGCGCTGAAGATACTATTCTAACCCCTCTTCAGGGGATTGGTCGGTAGTTGCTCCTACATTCCACATAAAGATTATGTTTCATCTCTTCACAAAAATTCCATCCAAAACATCCATGACACTCTGGTAAGTTTTGCAATAAGAAATATTGGTATATACGGATATAGAGACATGGTGCATTAGCAGGTTAAGTCTATCCGTATCAGTAATAGGAGTGGACGAATTGTTTTCCAATGCAAGCAAGAATCCTTTGAATAATCATTTCCAATATTGCCAGGCATCAGTAGTAGTCGAGTCTGCAGATGCCAAGTTGAGACATTCTTGTTTAAGGTAGTTGTCCATAATTACATTCAATAAATTGTAATGAAAACTTAGAGTCTAGTTCCGCTTAATGTGCCTTTATTGAAAGTAACTGAAGAGTCTTGCTGTTTTGGCTAAGACAGCATTGACATATAAAAATCATAAGACAGGGGAGGTAATCGGGTTGTCTTACCACAGTGATAGAGGGCTCAAAATTAAACATTCGACAGTACCCATTGATACATTTTGGATTTCAATACAAAAGGAATATCCCACATTAGCTATAAAGACCTTATCTGTTTTATTGCAATTTTCTACTTCTTATTTATGGGAATTAGGCTTTTCCACCCTAAATAACATAGCTTTATATATATATACATTATATTAAATAACATCAAAAATAAGAAGTGAGAAAGACGCTCAACTGAAGACGAAATGAGGGTCTGCTTCTAACATTGAAGAAACATTGAAGAAATCACAGAAAAATTCCAGGCACAGGTTTCACAGTAAATGAGCTGCACAAATAGTTGAATAGAAACATTGAAATAAAGCAAGTTCATATTTGGTGAGTATATATTTTAAATCTATGGTTTTATTTCATAACATTTAAATGTATACCCTTTAGAAATTTTTCTAAGTGTGTTGTGATTTTTTCATTTGTGTGCCATTGCTTAAAAAAGATGAGAAACACTGGTTTAATGTGAAAGAAAAAAAAAAAAACACTATTATTATACTATACTGTCTACTATTTAACAGATCAAACATTGGATCATACAACAAAACTTTATATATATTATTATTATTATTATTATTATTATATGAAATGGATTAAATACAACAAATATTTTAATATATTTTATGTTTATACGTTTTTATGGATCCACTTATTTGAATAAATGCTCTTTTTTTTTTTTAATTAAACAGTATTAATTACATTTACCAGGCTGAATGTTAAAGAAATTTCATAGAAAATATGCATTCTCTGACAGAAACTGTATCCTATACAAAAGCCTGACGTGCTATAACCGGAAGTCCTCTGTGGTTGAGCAGTCATAGTACATCAGGCTTAATGATGGCTCCATATAGGATACAGGTTCAATTCCTGTTGGGGAACACATATTTTCTATAAAGACTATGCAAGACTCTTCGGTAAATTGAATAGAGTTCTCTCAGTCACTCTAAAAATAAGTACACTTAAATTCACCTTCATCTCTGCCATGTGCCAAGGCTTAGGAGTAGAATCCATGACTGATGCCAATTCAGCTTGGTTTCGATCCTAGCTAGAATCAACCAGACATCTAGCCACACTGATGAGCTGTGATAGAATGAAACAGTCTGTCTGTGGATGACAATATATATGCTCCTGAAAAATTTATTTCGGTAGAGCTCTCTGGGGAGGAAATGGGAGTTTGTAATCAGTGACTATTACTGTTAATAATACAAGATCCTTAGGTAAAGTGAATTGAGTTTTTTCAGTCACTGTGTGTTTATCTAAAAATAAATACACTTTAAATTCACTTTCATCCCTGCCGTGCACCAATGGCTTAGGGGTAGAATCCCTAACTGACACCAATTCAGCCAAGTTTATTTCCTAGCTAGAGGCAACCAGATGTCTAGCCACACTGATGAACTGTGAAACAGTCTGTCTGTGGATGACTATATATCTCCAAATGTAAAAGAATAAAGAGTAAGATTTCAGTGTTCAAAACATTAATTTAAAACAGAGGTCAATACAAAAGTAAAGCTGTAAATATTTATTATGCAGTGTTACATTAGAATATGCATATGCCCACTACAAAACTATACATTTTGTTTCAACGTTTTTTAAAAACTTTTTTAACGTTTCATCAGGTGGGGAATCCCGATGTGATTTTAACGTTGAAACAAAATGTACAGTTTTGTAGTGGGTATGTGCATGTTCTAATGTAACACAGCATTATATATATATATATATATATATATATATATATATATAGAGAGAGAGAGAGAGAGAGAGAAAGAGAGAGAGAAAAAAATAATAAAAAAAGAACAAGTGTATTAAATAGAAAAATGATTTTATCATCCCTTCCCTTAAAGGAATCTTGCATTCATCTCTAAGAAAAACGACAATAGAAATAAATAAATAATAAATTGCAATTTCTTAATAAAAATTTTTCACCTTCGAAATAAAATTCATGGTAATTTACACTGCTGGAGGCTGTTTTTTCTAGGTCAATTAAAAGAAAAATAAATAAATAAAAAGATGATTAAGTTTTTTTTTTTTTTTTTGTTGCTGTTTTTTTTTTTTTTTAAATGAAAACAGTATTTTAAAAAATGCATTAAACAGTACCTTCTGTTGTATCTTTTGATTGGGTGTCGGTAGAAATGCTGCTGCAAACCATGGTCCTGCTCTGGGAGCATCCATATTGATGACTGTCGTCCTGTTGTCTGATCGCAGGATGAACCGTTCAGAAAAAGTGCGCTTGAGATAAAAATTTTCTGGGAATGTTTTATTATTGACTTTGATGATGGGGAAGCTGCCATACTGAAGGAAGCTGCAAAGAGAAAGAAGAAAAACAGTTTTAAAAAAATATCCTCTATCAACAAACCCTTGATCATTGTGGCAAATATTTCCTGTAAAAAAAAAAAAAACTATATATGGATCAAATATGGATTAAATATGTAAAGAAAACTTGTTCATTTTTTTAAATTTTGTTAAATGTCTTGAATAAATAGGGAAAAATATTGGATAAATGTTGGAAAATTATTGTGAAAATACTGAAAAATATAGGGAAAATATTTTTAAAAATTGAAAAAATACTGAATAAATATTAGGAAAATACTGAATTGGTATGAAATTTACAGGTTTTAACAGGATCATATTTAATTTGCTTGACTGATATGTTATCAACCATTTTCAGGTTATTTAAAGTCAGAAAACATGGTTTTAGATTTTAACAATTTTTTTCTGGAGATAATAATGGTTTTGTGATACTAATTAACCCAAAGCTGGGGGGGGGGGAGTAGAAGAGGTGGATTCCCAAGAGTATTTGCCTGTAAGTGAATGTAACAAACCAAGCTGGAATTGGAACACTGCTTTCCGATTAACAATTCCAACAAATAATCCATTACATCACCCAAACATCCAAACTAACAGCATAGGTCCACCATCTAGATATTGACCAGGCTCAACATTGCTTAACTTTGATAATCATACAAGGCCCATCTATTTGAAGCTCGAAGACATATACTAATATACTAATGATGATCATTTTATTTCACTAAAATGACTAATAATATTAATTTGCCTCTCGCCAATAGTCACCCTGTACGTATGGTCATGGATACTTTTTCATGAGAGCAACCTTATTTCTTTTTCCTTTCTAACATAGTCAAAATTCAGAATTTATACAGGTTTTTAAATATCATCTTTGCTACAAGACAATGTGCTGAACAGCCTAAAAACAATTTTGCACCATCTGTGAACAGTAAAGTGTGAATCATGTTCTACATGAAAATAAAATATATTCATTCTTTTTACATAGACTGTACAAATAAATAAAGCAAATTAACATTAAATTTATCATAAGAGATTTTTTTCTCATTAGAATCTGTCTTATATATTTATAAGTCTACCATTCACCTAGGCATTGAATATTACTGCCACATCTGGTCTGGTGCTTCTGTGATGAATCTACAGTGTTATCAGCCCTGATCTGGCCTCAGGTGAACTCAGTGTTTTACTTCTCCGAGACTGGTTGGAAAGCCTATTCTGCTTTGCTATTTACAGGGTGAATAGATGGGTATGTGGCACTCACATATTGTCTTTTTCATTACCTTTTAAAATGTTACAGAATCAGGTCAATACAATTTCATTTTCAAAAGGTGTTTGTATTAAATATCAAATTAAGAAAAAAAAAAAACAATATAATTGCCACAGAGCAATATTTATTCATATTCCCATAAGGAGGAGGGGTGAATTTGTCCTGCACCAATTTTTGCAAAAATCCACAACTATAACTATAATAGATTGAAACTTCTAAAATTTACAGAAATTATTCAAAAGTAAATACAGATATGTGATATGTCATATGCTAGGCCACAAAAATCTTCTGAGCCGACCAAGCATAGAAATAAATACAATATGAAAACCAGTAATAAGGAGAGCCAGAGAAAAGCAATGATAACAACAAAGTTGCAATATGAGCTCTGGTAAAAAACATGCAATGATAACAGCAAAATTGCAATATGAGCACTGGTAAAAATGGTTGCTGAAGACATTAGGTTTATAATACCCAGAAATTCATACCCACAGGGCACAGTGGATAAAGGCGTTGGTTAGATCCAGTGCCAGGACCCAAAGAGTGTGAGTTCAATACCCGGTTAAGGCCGTGGAGAACTTTCAGAGGGAAATTAGCAGGAGATAACTGATAACTGACATCCATCAAACATGGCACGTGGAACTAGAACAGTCAACCCCAGTGAGTGAAATAAAGGGTTCAGTTCAAATTCCAGCCACCTTAAGAAGGCCGGAGCGTACAACGGCCAAAACATTGTAATAAATATGGCGACAAAGATGAGGACAATAGTCCGAATAATGTAAATAATATCCATGCAGATGCGTGAATGCATATCTGAACAGATGGGTGCATGGTTGCAAATATACACACAAACCCAAACAATACATAAAAACTTACACTAATGATAATTGTATAAAAAAGAAAAAATTTAAAATATAAGCTGTAAATTGCTTATATCCACTTTAGAGTGGATGGACAGTTCCACCTACAAAACTCTGTAGTCAGAATAACATAAATCAACTAAGTGACAAAATTTTATTTATATTAATTCTATTAATGCTCTATCTTTGATATTGAGTACTTTATGACAAAGACTGCTTGCCTTAAATGCCTTATCTCTGAGTATCCTACTGACTGACAGCAGTTTGGCTTCATACTATGTTTTCTATATATAGATATATATATTCTTTATGTATATAGTTACATATTATTTTCTTTATTACATATATATACATATATATATATATATATATATATATATATATATATATATATATATTTATTTATTATATATTATTTTCTATATATATATATATATATTTATTTACATTATTATATATTATTTTCTTTATATATATATATAATTTATTTACTTTATTATATATTATTTTCTTTATATATATATATATATATATATTTATTTATTTACTTTATTATATATTATTTTCTTTTATATATATATTTACTTTATTATATATTATTTTCTTTATATATATATATATATATATATATATTTACTTTATTATATATTATTTTCTTTATTATATATATATATATATATATATATTTATTATATTATTTTCTTTATATATATATATATATATATATATATTTTATATATATATATATATATATATATATATTTTTATATATATATATATATTATATTTTTACTTTAATATATATTTTCTTTATATATATATATATATATATATATATATATATAATTTTTAAATATTTCTTCTCTCACACTTCATGCATAAAGAACTCTCTTCCAGCTTCTTGCTTTCCAGTCAACTTTAATCTTCAAAAATTCAATTGCAATGTCTTCTGTCTTCTTAATTCCTGCCCTTTTATTGTTCTCTCGCTTTAATAATGTTTTTTTTTCTTTTTCTTACATTCTTTCACACTCAGTAACCCCATGTGTCTTTGTGGCCTTATTGTCTTATAAAGTCCTATGAGATATATACTTTGGGTCCTTTGAGCATCATGTGTTCTATCCTTGGGTTAGGTAGTGCAGAAGTATACAATTGCTAAGTGTAGAGGCAGATCAACAACAGGAAGAATTGATGCTTTTGGGTTTTGAAATTCCCAAAGAAGAGCTCCGGACGTGACAGGTATAAGAATGAAGGCAATATAATTCCATTGATCAAATGATGGCTTCCATCAACATTTCACGTTGCATTTTCAAAAAAATCTGATACGTGCCATATTTTAAAATTTGTTTCTTATATTTGTCATAGTTATTTATTATTTGCTATTTCTTGGCATGAAATTTAAAGGTTTTAACAAGACTATATTTAATATGCTTGACTGATTTGTTTTTTATGGCTTATCAACCCTTTGCAGGTTATTTAAAGCCAGAAAATATTTTTTGATTGTAAGAATTTTTTTGATTATTCAGTGATACAAGTCCTACTAATTAACCCATAGCAGCGGGAGGGGAAAAGAGGTAGATTTATACTTTCCCAAGGGTGTTTGTGTGTAAATGAATATAGCAATCCCAACTGGAGTTGAAACTTGGCTCTCTTATTAGCAATTCCAAGCCATTATCCAATATGGAGGAGAAAAATCAACTTTCAAACAAAGCACAGACTGTAGAAATTGCTTTTAGTCTCCATTTTCCTCTATGGATGTGAAATGTGGACACTGCTGGCAGATAAAGAGAGAAGGATCCAAGTGCCATTTTCTATTGGGAACCAAAAAAACAATAAATTTGTGCGGAAGATGGTTGAAAGTTTCATGGGACACCTGGAACCTCTTCTTGCTACTGTCAAATGGAGAAAAATGGCATAGTTAGAACACATTACAAGGCACAACAACCTGTGCAAGACCATCATGTAAGGCACCATTGAAGGTGGGCATCAGAGAGGACACCAACGCAAAAACTGTTTGGACAATGTCAAAAAATGGACAGGTATGACCGTACCAGAATTGATGATGGCTGCCATCAATAGACCGTTAGTTAGTATGGCTCTGCATTCAGATCTGCCCTACAAGTGCAAAAGTTAAGGGGATGATGATTATTATTCATATTTCTATAAAAATGTATTGTTGGTTATTTTTCTATAAAAATGTATTGTTGGTATTTCTTTTGATAATTTTTTTTATGAAAATTATATTGCTATAACTTCACTGCAAAAATATATTACTAGTAATTTTCTTTTCTAAAAATGTATTGCTGGTATTTTTATTATAAAAATGTATTTTTATATTTTCATAGTATTTTGATTTTTGTTTGTGGTTGTGACCCTAACAGATGCTACCACCCTGTGTTCGGGAGGACTTGGGAACAAATGCACTTGGAGGTAAATTCAATTATGAGGTGAAAATAATAGTGTAAATATATATAATAATATATATTTAATATATATGTAAAATATTATAAATTGATTATATCTTTGACTCAATCATTTTATAAAATATCAGGCACTTAATTAATCCTTCCCCTCAGTACACCAACTAAAATGGTTTTTTCAGCATTCCTGAAAGGTTACTGAGGACAACAGACATCTGGGAAAGGCTAGAGGAAATTGTGGCTTACCACCAACAAAAAAACAAAACATTGTGATATAAAAAAAAAAAAAACCATATTGGTGAGGAAACTGGCTGTAATCCATAAATATAATGAAATAAATGACATTGTTGGGTCTTCCTTGACATCTGCACTCTATTGAATGAATTCTCTCAAATATGATATTGTTTTCTACAAAAGTTTTGGCAGATATCTAATTCTCTTAAGGTTAGAGGAAAAAATATTGAGAAAAACAATTTTTGATATTAGGAATGAAAAACAGTTTCAAAAATTGATTGACAATGTCCATACAGTCGATATGGGATAAAAAAAAAAAAAATCAAAAAAACAAAAAAAAAAATCACATTTAACATCTTTCTTACATCATCTTACATTCATATCACCCAACTGATTCAGTAACTCTCTTCATTGAGTGGATCTCGAGCTTTGCATTTGGGGAACGTTAATAAGAGCAAAAAAATCTAATATATACAATTTTCTTAACAAAAAGAAAAGTTTGACTACACAATTTTATAAATGCTTTCATTTTTTTTTTTTTTTTTTTTTATTTACATGTCTCTTTGTCTTTGTCATGTCAAATCATCAAAGCTTTTATGAAAGTAATATGACATTAGAATATCAAAAAACACCTCCTGTCAATGGATACAGATATTGGGAATAAAATAGGAAGATGAGAAAGTGAAATAATGCAGTAAAATTGATAAAAGGTTAAAAGTCAAACATAGAGAAATACATTTTAGAATCTTAAGACTTGAGGATATGTTTACTTATAAATATATGTATTAGATATATTTTTATAATTATTATTAGAAAAATGGTACATTCATTTTCTTGGAATTTGCATGATAGAGAAAAATAGTGAGTTACTTTCAAATATATAGACTAAGAATGAAAAGAAAGAAAGAAAGAAAATGAACAGAGATGAGTAGGGAGGTAGAAAGAAAGAAAATGAACAGAGATGAGTAGGGAGGTAGAAAGAAAGAAAATGAACAGAGATGAGTAGGGAGGTAGAAAGAAAGAAAATGAACAGAGAGGAGTAGGGAGGTAGAAAGAAAGAAAATGAACAGAGAGGAGTAGGGAGGTAGAAAGAAAGAAAATGAACAGAGAGGAGTAGGGAGGTAGAAAGAAAGAAAATGAACAGAGAGGAGTAGGGAGGTAGAAAGAAAGAAAATGAACAGAGAGGAGTAGGGAGGTAGAAAGAAAGAAAATAGATGAACAGGAGAAGGGCATAGAAGCAAAGAAAGTGAATAGACAGGAGAAGGGAGATAGAAAAAAAGAAAATGAATGGAGAGAAGTGGGGGTGGATAGAAGGAAAGAAAACGGATGGAAAGGAGTGTGGAGATAAAAGGAAAGAAAATGGATAGAGAGAAGTGGGGGGGTAGAAGGAAAGAAAACGGATGAACAGGAGTAGGGAGAAAGGAGAAAAGAAAATTGATGAACAGGAGTAGGAAGACAGAAGGAAAGAAAATGGATGCACAGGTTTTGAGAGATACAAGAAAATGGACCAACAGTAGGGAGTCAGTAGAAAAGAAAATGGCTGGAAAGGGGTTGAGAGATAAAAGAAATCGGACTGATAGAGGTAGAGAGTTGGTAATGATAAGATTATTGTTTCCATACAAGGAAACATTTGACATTCATTGACTGAACATTTAGAGTTACTGTTGGTTGAAATTTATAAAATATTTCTGTGAATGCAGTTTTTCAGGAGAATAGGTTTCTCAAGTTCAATAACTGTTATCGTTCTTTCTAATATTGATAGTGTGGAGGTCCTTCCTAACTTTTCGTTTAATGTGTAAAGTCAACAACTTAATCATATCATTATTTTCCCTTCTATTTACATATGCTATACCTTTTAGTTGTTGCTACTGTTGGTAGTATTCTGAAAACAAGACAGATGGATGGTGTTGGTTAGACCAACACAGACAAACATGAGTGGATATATAAGATAAGCATGCTCTAAAGTAAACAAACTGGCAAGTAAAGAACACGGTAATTAGTACAATGTAAGTATTGTAGATTTTTATAGCACACAAATGTACTGAGAGTTAATGTTTGGAGATCACATTGTACCAATCTTCCTGTTAGTATAGTGCTTATAGCCACATATCATGTTAAAATGCTGGTTCTGATACAATCACCAAAGTGAAGCAACATCAAAACTGGCCATTACCTAGATGGATGACCACTTGGGAATAACAGGTGCTGTAAGCTTGGATGTGCTAGTGGTTTAATGGATAATGCCTCAGAATTGTAAATCAGAAAACTGAGTTCCAATTCCAGTTGGGTTTATTATATTCACTGACACACAAATACCTTTGGGAAAGATATGAATTCACATTTTCTGCCCACGGCTATGAGTTAATTGGTAGAAATCATATCATAAATCATGATTATCTCCCCAAAATTATCATAATCTAGAAATATTTTCTGGTTAAAAATAACCTGCAAAAGGTTGATAAGCCATAAAAAAGAAGAAACTACCTCACCATAAAAAACAGAAACTACCTCCCTACTTCTTTCTCTTAGTACCAGAAGTCGGCATTCAAAGTCTATTTAAAAGATTGAATTTTCATGTGTCCTTTTTTTTTTTTTTTTAAAATACACTTCAAAAATTCAAATCCCATTGAGAAATCTACCATATTTAATGATGGCCGCTTCTCTTATCACCCTTCAGAATTTCTTTGCATTGTGTCTTATATAGAATTTTGGTGTTATCTACTATAATTTGTCTTATGTTAATATTATTTTGTTTATTCATTATATGTTGATCTATATGTGCCTAGATTGCACCAAATTTTGACAAATGACAAGTCAGCCCATGAGAGATGTGGTGCATGTGTGGCCAATGTAAGAATTTAATGATGTTTGTTAACTGTTAGTGTATACAACCTCCCAAAGAATATATAGTGTAGGTTTTTGAGGTGATTAATTATTTCTGAGCATTAGATTAGATGTTTGCAATTTTTATAATAGATGATAAATCTCAGGTATTTGTTAGGATCAATAACTTTTATATAGTGGCAGATTATAATTTTAATAGCCTTTGTAATGACAAAAGTATGCAGGTGTAGGCTTTAAGAAACTCTTAACTGAGAATACATGGTTTGCATATAGTGCCCTTTTATAGTCCCAGTAAACAGAAATACCTCTCTCAAAGAGGAGAGTAACAAAACAATGGGAGACCACTCTTGATTATTAATAACAGCCTTTTGGTCTTGTTTATAATTAGGATGCATCTGGTTACAATAAAATAATTTAATGGAATCATTATTTTTTTGTTTATATCAAATTGGTTGCTTTGGTTATTGTTTGTAAATTTATTTAAAGCTAATTTTATTTCTTCATCAAAAACATGGATTGGGAAAATATTGTTGGTAAGTGTTTGCTTTATGCTGCATAATATAAAGCAATGTTTTATATTGCTGAAATTATCTCTCTCACAAGACAAATGCAATGTGTACAACATAGACGTATAAATATTTATACAAGAACACATGATTAATAGAAGATCTGTCTTCTGCCTGTCAGTAATTCTTTCATTAATTCCTTAAATTTGACAATTCTCATTTCCATTATGGCAACTGGGTAGCAAAACCGACTGGAAATTTTTTTTTAAGTTCTACCTTCCGTTCAAATGTAGGGGGATCATGCTTCTTTTATTTAATATGTGAGAATTACTATGACTTCTTGGAATATATTGAATAGTGCTATTCTATTACCTTCTCTGTGGTTTATAATTAAGAGTTTTTCATTTCCTAGACTGGCTATTAGTCAATGCTACATAGGTCAATCTACCTTGTTTTTAAATCATAGGTGGCAGTGGAGAAGTGTAGAGTGAATGGCCATTGTTAAATGTAACTAAATGGCAGAACTACCCAACAAACAGAACTGACAAAGTTGGCAATAATCAATAACAAGCATAAGAAAAGCAAAGAACAGTACAAAAATAGTATAAAAGCAAGTAAGCAACATATGCAAGGCAAATTAACAGTAATAAGGCAAAAAGTTCACAAACTGATAATTGGGGTTGACACACAAGAGCAAATTCAGAGAAACAAACTGTTGTGTGTGAAGGCTACCAAAGTCTGCGTCTGTGAACAAGACTTTAAATAGTGGCATGTTAGTGGACATGGACAAGATAGACCAAATTCTTAGAGAAATTGAATACTCAGGCGATTTCTGTACCTTTTTACCAACCTATTAAAACCCTTTTTATTGTTACGTGTTATTTGGCGTTTGTCTCTACTAACCCCAAATCAACATCATAACACAAACATAGCATTCTGAATTCAAAACAAGACAGATTGGGACTGAGTCAAATGAAACCGATTACCAGCCTATTTTATTGGCTAGGAAGAAATCCCAGCATGCATTTGTGTGCTTCTGCCTATAAATTAGGGAGGGGAAAGTGTATTGCAGTCATTCCTGTTATTGTCCAGTTCCTTGTACCACGGTGATAGTCCAAGGTAGAACCATTAAAGAAGAACTCGAACATGGATATGGAATAACACAGATATATTACAAACAGGAATATATACAAAGAAGCAGAATTGTTAGTATGAACAATCAGGTTTAGTAGTAATTGTCTGAAGATGACTCTGATTCGGACTGCCTCTGACTTCGACTGACTGACTGACTGACTGACTAACGACTCGGATGGACCTCCTCCACACTTCAGACTGAACTCCCTGCTTCCTCTCGAGGCATAGTATTTATTACATATGGAATAGTCCATTATGTTATTATGGGTAAGGTCCCATAACAGTTCCCAATCAGGATTGGAAGCAACAAGAAGGAATACATTCATACCTTTCTCATGGCAAAAGTGAATACATGGGGTGAGATTAAAATCTGACTCACTAAATCTAATTTCCACAGATCACCATTTTCCTACCAGAATATCCTACCCCAAGAAGTATTTATTTTGTATAGGACATAAAAAAGGTCAAAAACAAAGCAGGAAGCCCAAAGAACTCTGGACAAACTGTATATCAGAAAAAAAAATGAAATTGTCACTCTTCATCAACTTGCTGCAAGATGCCATCAGCCCTCAGAAACAACCAACAAATTTCTTATGGAAACTAAACAAACTTAGCAAAAATTGTCCCTTCACAGCTGTTACAGCTAAACAATTAGTAAAAGAGTTAGTAAGGGATTCATTCATTAGTGAATTATTGTCAGTAAACATTCAACAGCGTCCACTAGAAAATGAAAACTTTACCCTGCAGCAATCCTATGACCAAGCAAGAATTTTAGACCTGGCTCAACATAATGCAAAATCTTTCATTCCACAAGACTCTGTAACTGCAATGACTAAAGGACCTCCTATTTCTACCTCTCAACCCTGGGATCTTCTTGATTCATAAGAAACCGTGGCCTCAATGAGGCGTACTTGTTTTTTCCTGCAGGGTCAGAATTCATTCTCACTTCTCATGCCCAGCAAAAGACAATAACAGTTTTTCATGTGGAAAAAGGAGTCACTGGTCGAAAGTCTGTAAAAACAAAAAAAGAATGGCGCATTGGCTTCATTCAGTTGCTTATCAAAAAATACCTGTAGAAATGATCTCCTTAAACTATATGAGTGATGTAATGGAATAACCTGTCACCCCCTTGAGTGACTACACTATAGATAGTAACTACCTATAAGTATCTGTAAGGCAACGAACTACAAGAGCCTAGCTGGGATCTGTTGAGTATGACTCAGACTTATGCTAGAACTACTGACCTTCCAATACTAGATTGACTTGAAAACAACCATGTGCATAACTGTTACCTTATTTCTTATTGTACTGGCTGTTACAATAAACCTTTACTTATTTTATCCACCATGTTTGTCAAGTATATATTCCTATTAACATGGAATATAGTAATGACGAACTGAGCCACCCCAGTGTGATAAGAATGCTCCACATGGTTCAAATTAGAAACATGTCCTTTTCAGTTGAAAATGTGACTATGGAAATTAAATATGTGCAGATCTCTTATAGATAGATAGATAGATAGATAGATAGATAGATAGATAGATAGATAGAAACAGAGAGAGAAAGGTGGCATAAGAGAGAAAGTGAAATAACTGCATATGCATAAAAAAGAGACATTACAGCTTTGCCTACAAGTACTTGAGAAAGAAAGAGAGAGTCAACTTTACCAAGAAGTGCATAAACAAGAGAGAGGGGGAGAAAAAGAGATGGCTAATTTACACATTATGAGAGAGAGAGAGAGAATGAAAGAGAAAGGTAACTTGAGAAAGGCTTATAGACATTTAGTTGTATATATTTTTAAACTTATTCACAATAGTGATCTTTAGCCAGACTGTCAACTGCTTTTTATATTAAAGTCTTCTCTCCTGGAGGAGAGTCTGCAAACAAACCCATCAGTAAATAACTTTATTTACTTTGATCCACAATTACAGAAAAAGAGAGAGCAAAACTTTACTAGCAAAGTACAGAGAGAGAGAGAGAGAGAGAGAGAGAGAGAGAGAGGCTGGGTAAGGATAGAGAGGCCGATGGAAACATTACAATGTTGACAAATAACTGCTTTTTACAAGGCAATAAACTTCTGCCCTGATCAGGTCAGTGATAAAGGTGAATTCTATTAAGAGGTAAAAAAAATTATTTTGCAGGGCCACAAAAAAATTTTTATTTCTTTTGCGGCTTACATTTATTTTAATATGTCTGTTATTAATACCCGGTGAAATGTCATCAATTTCAATCCTCTACAAATTCTTTGCAATAAATTACCGTAGTAAAGAAGCAGAATTAATTTATGCAGGGCCATAGCAATCACAGATGACATTTTCCCAGATTTGCTCAGTTGCTAACATTTATAGCTGTATATGGCTGAGGCTGACAAAGCAACCAATATGTTTAGAGTTCCTTCCTGAATTTTCCCTGAAAGTGAATCAATGATCTGTAGTATCAAATTTCTTCTTTGTTTTTTTGTTGTTTTTTTTAAATCAGTATCACCCCATGCAAGGCAGTAAAGCCACTAAGATGCAAGGGGTTACAGAGTGTGAAAGAATTAGAAAACAGAAATACCAATAATGAGCAAAAGAGAAAAGAGTAATCAGGAGTACAGTAGATAGTGATTGACACTGAATTTAAATTTTTGCAGATTAAAGTTGGTTGGGAACCATGGAGCCGAAAGTAAGAAGTATGAGAAAAGAAACTGTACTTACGGTTACATCTAACCAGCTCAACTGTAAATTGATGAGATCTTGACACCAGTCTAGTTAATTGCTTAAATTTAAAAAGTCTAGGTACCATAGCAAATATCTAATCTGAATAATTACCATCAAAGTATTTATAGAAAAGGCACAGAGAGCAGAGAGACAACCTTATAGTATTGGGAAAGTGACTAAAGTCAAGCCACCAGATCAGGACCAATAATATTGCTGATTCTTCTTTGGATTTTAACAAGGATCTTAAGGTAAATAGCAGGGGCACCAGACCATATGTAACAGAATTATTCTTAGCATTGACGAATGGTAGATTTATAGATGTGTAAAAATAGATACTAAAAAAGAGAAAATATGGCGAGCCATGGTCTCCTATATACTGAAAGGACATGATACTTAAGAAGAGAAAATACATATATTGAAGAAACATGGCTTAAGATGTTTATGGCAAATATGATGAAATGATACTGTTGCAAATGTATGATGTGTGTTGGAGAGGAATAGAAGGTTCGAAGTATCAGAGGGCTTAAAATTGCGTGTGTTCAATAATCTTCCATCCACAACAATTAATACAAGACATAGAATAATAATGATTCATAGACATCTTGTTTCAAAACGTAACAATTGAATTTATTAGTGTTTGATATACGTGCATGAATACTGAGTGAAAAGGTTAGACAGAGTTGTGTCTTTTAGATTAGGTAATATTTGTACCTAAGTTCATAAAGTGAAAGTATTTATTAAACTGTAGTTTAGAAGAATAAAGTTTTTTTAGCATGTTTGGAATTGTGTATTGTACAAGTTGGTAAAAGTTCAGGAGAGATTTCAGAGTTCATACTTGTGTGAATGTTGGTAATAGTCTTTAACATTTGACTGCATTAGTTAAGATTGAAGATTACATCTTGGCAGCAAGGAATGAGACACGAGAGAGAGAGAGAGTTTACATGTGTTTTGTTTTTATAATTTTGTTGTACCACGTGACAGGCTCAGATGGAAAACATGGGAAAACAGATTTGTCGCATGCAGGATATCTGATTGGTCAGAATTGACCAATCAGCGAGCTAGTTTGAAGGTAATTAACCAATGAATGCTTGTTATCTATTTTGTAAGATTGTGATGGTGAATATTACAACAGGAATAGTGCATTTTTTCCTAGCAGGGGTTAACTGGGTTGTTGTGGAAGATTCCACAATACATATTCAGTAACATGATCTAATCTAAAAAAAAAAAAAAAAAAAAAAAAAAAAAAAAAAAAACGGTTCACGTAAAAAAGGAAACATTGTCTGCTT